TTACTGGTAATATGGAGTGTGGGTGTGAGAGAGAGAGGGGGCTTGAGGAAGCCTGTAAGATTTTGACATCGTGTAATATTTATGTTTGGCTCCACCTTCAGGACCGATTCAGTCAGAGCCTCAGTCAGGGCATAAATTTGACTGGTTTAGGGCATTGCACCGCAGCTGACATTCTGCAACTCTTCCATATCCCCACTTCTGTTACCCTCACTTATAGTCTAGACAGAACTCATGAGACTGATACAGACAGAGGCCCAGATCCACCAAGGGACTTAGGCGTTGTGATGCTGCAGGGAGGCACCTATCCCTGCCGGTGATCCATGAAGCAGGGGAAGATAGGCGCTTTTCCACCTAGCCCACATGTCGGGCCTCATCCAGTAGACATGCTCAGAGCCACCAAGATCTTCACAAACCAGCCAGAGGAGACAAGGGAGAGCCTCCCTTATAGCCTGGGGTTAGAATCCTCACCTAGGACATGGACAAAACCTTGTTTGAGTCCCTGCTTTGCCTGATGAGGAAAAAGGCTTTAACCAGGGCTCCGCCATCTCTCAGGGAGTGCCCTGACTGATGGGCTGTAGGGTGGTTGTGATTTGCACACATTCTGCAGCCCAACTGATATTTAATTAGTCAATTAAAGTGGAACAACTTTAACAGGAGCGACTGAGGGAGCCCACAGCTGAGGGGTTAAGGCACTGACTTTAGAAATAGCAGATCCCTGTTCAACCCCGTCTCCTCTGACCACACATACTAGATGGTGCCCTGCAGGTGGAGGAGCACCTGTCTTCCCCCAGTTTGTGGATCATGCTGGGGTGTGGTGTGAAATGGGCAACTGGCTGCTTAGAGTAAGACAGCAGTGTACATGCCCTGCCCTTGAGGCAGCAACATAAGGAGCTTGTAATGCAAAAATGTAGGCACCAAGTCAGGTTAGGCACCTATAGGGGTCAGCGGCAGCCATGCAGAGGTTTTGTGGATCACAGTGGCACCTAAGTCTGGGAGTTAGGCACATAAGTACCTTTGTGGATCTGGGCTAGAGAGACTTGGGCAAGGAACATAACATTACTAGTGATATTAACAGTGTCTGGAAAGGCTCACACTACAGTAACAAAGTGAATTTCTCTAAGATCTAACTGCCTATACATTCCAGCTGAACAGAGCTTATAACAGTGGCTCAGTCAGTGAATAAACTTTACTTGTGCTAGCACAACCTCTAAAAAGAATTGCACCACAATTAGTATTCAGCATGTCTCCAAGATCTAACTGCCTAAATGTTCAAGAACACTTACAGTGATAGCGCCACGTGCTGTGCAGTGGGAGGGTGAGATTAAGGATGGAATGAGTATTGGGACTGAATCCTTATCCCCATAGGGCGATAGAGAGGTCCCAGTGCGAGAAGAAGGAGGAAGTGACTAAACTGAAGGGGTGACTTCTCTGCCTCTCCAGATTGGCTCTTATTTTGGGGGTACACTGTGCGCTGTGGACCTCGACAGAGATGGGAACACGGACCTGCTTCTAATTGGAGCCCCCATGTACTATACACCTCTGAATGGAGGACGGGTCTATATCTGCCCGATTAACTGTCCGGTAAGGAAGAGGAGTGGAGCCAGGGGGAAGATGGATGGCCTGAGGTTCTTCTTTGCCTGCACTGCCATGGGATTGTGATGCTGGGACTATTAGCATGGCAGTAGCTGGCGCGGTGCTCCAGGGAGTAGGGTGGGGGGATCATGAGGGGACGCTCTTCCCTGCTGGCCCCAATACCCCAGAGTGGCACCAAGGGGCGCTGTGCTGCAGAGAGAGGGAAAAGGGGGTCAGCAGGGGGTACTCTCTGCTGGAAGTCAGTGCTAATCCTTTCCCCATGTGTCTCTTTGGATGGGGCCTCCAGGGGGTGACGCTGATCTGCAGTAAGACACTGCAGGGGCAGACGGGGCAGGCATTCGGGCGCTTTGGGGCCAGCATGTCCGAAATCGGGGACATTAGCGGGGACGGACGGACGAACGTTGCCATTGGGGCCCCCCTGGAGAACAGCAATCGTGGGGCCTTGTACATCTTCCATGGGGAAAAGGGAGGCCTCAGTCCCCAGTACAGACAGGTGAGCCCAGCTCCTGTTGGGAGGGGTCACCACAGAGCCCGAAGAGACATCATGGGGCCCCACGGTCCCCTAGTGCATATTAGACTGTAGCTGCTGCTTTCCCTTCCCTCACCCTCCGCTGCCCCCTAGTGCCCATTGCACAGTACAGCCGCCCCTTTCCCATCCCTCACCCTCCGCTGCCCCCTAGTGCCCATTACACAGTACAGCCGCCCCTTTCCCACCCCTCACCCTCCGCTGCCCCCTAGTGCCCATTATACAGTACAGCCGCCCCTTCCCCATCCCTCACCCTCCGCTGCCCCCTAGTGCCTATTATACAGTACC